GATGGACTAGAGACCGGTCCAGGTGTCCCTGTGATGGACTAGAGACCTGTCCAGGGTGTACTCCACCTCTCGCACAGTGATGGCTAGACATGGACACCAGTGACCCCGCAACCCAAAAAGGAAGAAGTGGGTAAAGATGATGGATGGCTGGAAGGTTTGGAAATCTTGTTCCAACAGAAAGAACGCCTCCACAACCAACAAGTTACAAGAAAATGAGACTTACCATAAATCTGAACGTCCTGGCATGAGCCTTTTCCTTTTGCTGAAATATGGTTCAAAGTCTTGAGTGTTGAGTCTGTGGGCGTAGTCTATATATCCAGAAACCTCCTGTCCAAGTGAATTATAATCCCTTATGAAAATGATCGACTGTAAAAACAGAAAAGAGAAGGAAACCCTCTGTGTTAATAATCATGGCTTGAAGTCTTTTCTGAATAAAACCCATGAACGATAACGTATTTCAGGCAAATGAATGGTCAAAATACGTCTAAATCTAAATACAAAAGGATCTTGTTCAATTTTGAACATAGTTCCAAACAAAAATGACTCCAACTCGTGTCGTCCTGGAGTGGCCCGAGCTCACCGAGGTGGCCTGTCTGCAGAATATCCTGCTCAAATAGGTGCGTGGGACCAGAACAGAACCATTTAATGTACAGTAACTAAAGTCTCAGTTCCGTTCCAACACTCCTACAGTCAAGGCAAGAATGCTTCTTGGAATTACATAAAATATAGAGCTCTGATTTAAAACTTAATGCTGTGGGTGGTGAGAAACATTCAGACAGTTTTGGTTAAAACACAAAAGCAGAAAACAATTTGTTCACTCCTTAAACTACGATTCTTCCTCACGGACCTTTGTATTTTTGGAAGTGGCGTTTTTCCTTATTCACTCTCATGCATCAACACACCCTGTATCAAAAGAGCAACCGTGGCTGGACAAAAAGGTTATCATATAAAAGCAACGTCTTTATACTTGTCATTTGATCATCATCTGTTCAAAACTTAACTGCCTTTGGTCATAGATTACATTGCAAATGAAACGTTCGGTGTCACTGTTAGCTCCATGTTTAACGCTGGCATCTCTTCTAACTATTCTTTTGCACATCAGAATCAGCTTAGGGTCACAGCCTCCCACAAAAGTCTCATACAATCCCAATTATGAAAATGTTGGCACTTGTCCATCCATCCATCCATTATCTTTTACCCGCTTCTTCCATTTTGGGTCACGGGGGTCACCGGAGCCCATGTCCATCAATCACTGTGCGAAGGGCAGGGTACTTCCTGGACAGGTCTCCAGTCCATCACAGGGACACATGGAGACAAACGAGACAAACAACCATTCACTCTCTCACTCATGAACTTTGTCACACCTAGGGACAATTTAGAGAGTTACCAATCAGCCTAACATGCATGTTTTTGATCTGTGGGAGAACCCGGAGAAAACCCATGCATGCGCGAAAAGAACACGCAAACTCCACCCAGAAAGAACTCCAGACCGGGATTTGAACCGGGGACCTGCTTGCTGAGAGGCAGCAGCTCTACCAGTTGCGCCACCGTTGGGACTTGTGCAAAATGTAAATAAAAACTGAATGAACTGATCTGCAAAGCGCAGCCACTAACTATTCTGTTGCAGTTCTGTTGCTCAGATGGGAAGAACAGTTCCAGAAATTTCTAACTCATTTTGCAGTCGATGTAGCAGAATTTTGTGGTCGACTGTCAAAAGCTGATGACAGATCCAATAAAATCAATACACTGCACTGTGCATCTATCTATCTAAATCTAGGTCCTGTTTGAGTTTTCTGCTGATAAACAGACCAAAACACTGAAATCAGATTAAGAGACAATGACTTCAGGTAGTTTAAAAAAAGGTTTGGATTCTTCAGTGCAAACAAATGTCTCATTTAAAGACGGTTTCCCGGACGCACATCAGACAAAAACCTTTGAAGCGGAGTTCATACAAGACACAGCCTGAGGAAAAACAGATGACAAGGTTTTGTCACCGGATTCAGACAAAGATTGAAAGGCAAGTTGTCCATACCCACTCCCAGCCTCCTCCCAGTCACAGAGGACATGAAATAATCTTTTCATGTCTATTGAATAGTTTAGATAACGCCTGATGACAATAGATGTGAAGAACTCCAAAGAGAAGGCACACTCAGGTGTGAAGAGGTTGTTTTGTCTGCCTGTTCTTGGACAAAGGGCTGTTTTTCTTTCTTCTCTGCCTCATATTGTAAAAAAAGGACTCCTTTTGTGTTTGACTTGTCTCGTTTGCTCTGAGCATGAAAAAGTCCCACTTTTCAGCTTAAAGTAACACTCGGTGCTGATACCTCTGCTTGTGAGTTCACATTTGTAAACCTGTCAGGACATGGGCCATCTGTGGATCCCCTTACTAAAGAGGCATAAGATAGCTAGTGCTCCAGAGATCAGGAGAAAAGAGGGCTTCTTCGTCTGTTTCTCTAAAATGTTTAAAGCAGATGCTATTAGGCTCGCAGCTGGCTGGAGGCCTGAGCCATTTACCCTATCTACTGGCTGCTGTCCTCGCCCAGCCAGCCTTGAAAAGACATCATTAGGTTGACACGGCAAAGGGGGAGCACCATTTGAGTGGTGGTGATAAAAATAATATTGGATAAATGTCTCTTTGATGTGTAGTCCAAGAACAATTTGACTCCCAGAGATATCAAGGGGCAAATCACATCATAACAACAAGCTCTGTATGTTACTTTGTTAAAAAAAAATATTACGTAAAATGAAATCCAGTAAAAGTTTGAATAAAAACCTAATTCATTTAGTGATGAGAAATTAGTCCAATCTGTTTAATCCATGTGAAGTATATTAAATTGCTGAAGTAACAAAGTAAAAATCATCATCATGGCAATGTTTGTCTGAGTCTCACTCACTGATAATTCTAGTTTTGTTCACACTTTTCTAAAGTCCTTATCAGAACAAACAGCTCTAACCATCCAAAGACTCTTACATTTATAAAATCTTCTCTCAAAGCATGTTGGAGTTGGTCTGAGATACCTTCTCCAGTCATGGTGTGTGATTTATGAAATGTTCAAAGCAGCATGGGGGTTAAAGTTAACCCACTGCTGTTGTGCCTCTAAAATACCTCAACTACAGCTCCAAATCCCAAACGAGTTGAAAAGGAGGCGCAGTGGACGAATTCCCGTCAACCTGGTGGTGGTGCTTGAATACCTGACCGCCGAGATCCTGGAGCTGGTGGGAAGCTCGGCTTGTGACAACAGGAGGACCGGGATCATCCCCTGGCACCTTCAGCTGTCTGTCCGTGGTGACAAGGAGCTCAGCAGACTGCTGGGAGGAGTGACCATAACACAGGGAGGAATTCTGCCCGGCATTTGGGCAGTCCTGCTGCTCAGGAGGACCGAGAGGTCCGCCAGATCTGACAGCAAGCTGGATCCGGGTGGAGGGATTGGTATCTATGGACAGATTCTTCAGATTCGCTGCAGGAGATCCTTCCTGCCCACAGCTATCAGCATCTATAACAACTCTTGAATGAAACCAGGCTGATGAGCTACGACAACACTTAATTTCCCTTTGGGATTAATGAAGTATTTTTGAATTGAATTGAAACAATCTTGTGAAAATTAAGCATTTTCAGTGTTAAAATTATTGTATGTGTGAAAACAGGGTAAGCATTAAACAACACAAACAAAACCAAACTCAGGAGCTCTACTAGAGGTCTGAGAGCTTCAGGGTTCTCTTTAGTATCTTAGCTGTTTATAGGACTGAGCTCTTCTGGACAGAGATCTGAGGTTGTTCCTTGGATCTGCTGGAGCCATTCGTCATTTTAAGGGCAACATCCCCAAGTGCCCCAAATGACCACTCACGCCACAACTGGAGAGGTGTTGACTCTCCACAACTTTCTTGGCATTTCGTGAGCTTAATGCACTCCTCCTCCTTGATGTTACAGTCCTTTGGAATTGCTACATCAATCACACTCCCTTTTACTGTCAACCGCCCCAATGTCCGGCTGGTTAGCCACCAACTGTGTGTCAATCTGGATCTAGAAGTCCCCCAGTGTCTTAGTCCTGTCCTTCTTGAACCATTAGTGAGGTCTTCCACTTTAACTATGAGACGCCCAACCTGCAGTTGGTACAGATGTTCCTGTACACTATTCCAGTTCTTGGTTGTAGCATTCCATGTATGCTTTGCCTGCCTGCATCTTACATTTTGCTGCCTTTCATTTATCTGCTGGTGGTACGTGCCATGCAGGGGGATAGCTTTCTATGATGGTTCCTCTTGTTACACCTTTTCCACATTGTGTTTCTGCTGCCTGAGACATCATGGTTTCCATTCGCCTGTGGGGATCCAAGGTATCTGTTGCTGTCTTGAACATCTGTAATATTGCCTCCAGATAGTCCAACTTCTTTCATTCCATTTCATTCCTTCTCCTTGATATCATTTGACTCCATTTATCCAGTCCAAGTAACATTCCTCTGATTTTATTGTCTATTCTGGTGAGGTGGATCAGCTAGCTCGCTCATTTCTGGCACATAGCTTGATGTCATCCATGTAGAGGTGGTTGAGGACTGTTCAGCTTTGAAATCAGTTTTAATAGCCACTCTTTGCAATGCTCTGGCTGACGATGTAATGTTCTACATATTGTATATATTTAGATTTAACTTTGTCTTTACAACTTGGCTTTGAAAGGTAGTTCAAAGTTCAAACCCTTTGCTGCAAACAGGCAGCGTGAGTTGTTGGAAAGAAGGGAGGCCCCTCCACTTTACGTTATGGAAAACAAGTGGAGGTTGTACGTCACCTGTCAGCAATTACCAAGAACAGGTGCTGTGACCTCACAGGGCAGTGAGGGGGAGACCCCGGTTTACAGCGTGCATCAGCCGGGTTCATGCTCCAGACTGAGGCCCGCACAGATCTCAGGTACAGATCTTGGCTCATCGCTAAACTCATTTAGCTCCTCTTTGAGAATTTTTCCTTTTGTGCATGTGCTTTTGAAACTCCACCAGTGACCCTAGGTCGAAGGTACTATGAACTAAAAAGAATAGTAGACTGGGAGAATCTTTTAATCCATAGTTTATGAAAGACAACAAAGCATCTCAAATCCTTGTGGTTCCCCACCCTCATACAATTCCACACACGAGCATGTTTAAGCACTCAGAAACAAACAGTAAAACCTGAACACCATTGACAACGTCAACTATTTAGTCCTGTAAAAACTGTCAAAGGGTCTCACTGCATTTCCGCACACAATGCAAATTACTTCACTCACTCATCTTTCAAAACCACATGGCTGAAAGAGAAGGATTTACAAATTCGAGTCAAACAGAAGCTGATAAAGCTGACACATACGGTGCCCTTTCTTTGTATTTTTGAGAACGTCCTACAGGTGGGGA